AGGGGAGGAGCTAACCCTTGTGTATATGCTGCCATGATTAGCCAGGAAATATATATATCTATAAATAAAATACAAATAACCGCAAATATATATAATTACATAAATAACTACATAAGTGTACACGTAGACTTTAAATACATATATATGTATATATATTAAAATTCGACGTGTATATTTAAGTAATATTTTAATAATAATGTGATTTCATTAATTAAAATTTGATTGACATGCCTGACAACCCAGGCAGAAAGTGCAGAGAATTTGAATTGCAAGCACTCTATTTAACCCTGTAACTTTCCAAGACACCATAAAACCTGTATATGGGGGGTACTGTTTTACTCGGGAGACGTCGCTGAACACAAACATTAGTGTTTCAAAATGGTAACTTGTATTACAACAATGATATTTTTAGTAAAAGTTAAGTTTTTTGCATTTTTCACACACGAACGGCACTTTTACTGACAATATTATTGTTGTAATATGTTTTACTGTTTTAAAACACTTATTTTTGTGTTCAGCGAAGTCTCCCAAGTATAAAAGTACCCCCTATGTACAGTTTTTATGGTGTTTTGGAAAGTGAAAGAGTCAAATATAAGGCTTGCATTTCATTTTTTTCACATTGAAATTTGCCAGATTGGTTATGTTGCCTTTGAGAGCGTATGGTAGCCCAGGAATGAGAATTACCCCCATGATTGCATACCATTTGCAAAACTAGACAACCCAAGGTATTGCAAGTGGGGTATGTCCAGTCATTTTTAGTAGCCACTTAGTCACAAACACTGGCCAAATATTTGTTTTTTGCTTTTTTTCACACAAAAACAAATATGAATGCTAAAGATGGGAAGAAAAAAAAGGATTTAAGGGCTGCGCTATTGTACAGAGAACAGTACCATAAAATAGAAACCAATTGGTTGAAGTGTATAATCAGCAAGTAATAAAACCTGGGTATAATAGTCTCTATTGCAATTATATAAAAATAATGAATAAAACAGAGTCCATCCAGATGTTCAATAAAAATCAAATGATAAGAAAAATGTTGAATAAAATCAATAAAAACAGTCTCACTGATATATGGATAGGGTATGTGTACAATCCTCAGGAGTTGATCCGTCCGGGTTGTAGATAATCCATATATGTGGAGATAAAAGAAAACACAAAAAACTGCCAATGGTGAAATATTGTAGCTCAAAGGGTAAAAATAAGTAAAAAGGAGGATTGTGCACTCACATTTGATGGAGCTAGGGCCAGCTCTGGGGTGAAGCGCACTTAGTGGTATAATCCCCACTACAGGATGCACTGGAAGGGTAGGTCCGTCCGTCCGGCTTGGGTTCCACCGTATTCCACAAGGTATAAGAAACAGCAAATAGTGCTCTCAGTAGGAACATTAAAATAAATAAAATAGCATAAAATATACTCACAAGAGTAGAGCAGAAAATACTGCTCTATTGCCACAATGCTTTCCTATGGATGCTGGCGTGCTCTCACTGTGAAAATCACAGTGAGAAGCACGCAAGCGCCTCTAGTGGCTGTCAATGAGACAGCCACTAGAGGAAATAGTGCTATGTTTATGCCTAGAGTGTGGGTGCCTAGAGTGGTCCTTTAAGCGCAGACTCTTCCCCTCTGTTTTTAAATTACGCCAGTGTTTGTGACTAAATGGCTACTACAAAAGACTGGACATAGCCCACTTGCAATACCTTGAGTAGTCTACTTTTGCAAATGGTATGCCATCATGTGGGTAATTCTCATGTTTGGGGGAAGGGATACCTACACTCTGGGGATTGCTATAATCACTTACTCCCCAGAGGAAGCTCTTGCAATAGCTTGATTTGTTCCTGTTCCTGCTCTCTGGGGAAAGAGAGGTTCACCCACTAAAGCTGGATCCTGGCCTTGGGTCCAGGGTGGGTGGAAACAGCAGAGACCCCGGCGCAGTTGCATCGCTGGAAGTGGGGTCTGCAGTGCTGATGGTGTCGGTTGGAGTGCTTGGAGTCCTCGGCAAGCGCTAGGAGCATCGATTGGCGGAGGTACTCAGTCGGAGTGCCAGCATTCCGTCACATTTGGTGGCAGCGGTGGGATGGCGTCCTAGTGCGAGGACCAGCAGCTCAGAGACACCGGTAACGTGTGGAGTTACGGATTTATAATTGAGGGCAACGCTAGCCTCTGCGCAGCGTCCCTACCTACAGCAACATGGAGCTAGCAAGACCCTGGACAGCAGCCAGTGAATTGCAAATCCGCCTGTCACAGTGCTATGAGGGTGCTGATTTCATGAAGGAAGTAAAGGCGCGGCTGGTCTGGTTTGACCCAAACCCTTCAGATGAGGTGGTCCATCAAGTGATGCGCCTGTTGAGTGCTGAGAACCAAGACGCACGGAACTACGAGTACCAACTGTGGAGTTTGGGGGTATTGACACCCCGTCTCCAGCGACAGAGTGAGTTACAGGGAGAGGAGAGCAGCGACCTCCCTTCCCAGCGGCAGTGCACCGTACAGAGGGAAGAGACAACCGGTCTCTCTCCCCAGCGGCGGCCTGAGTTCCAGGAGGAGGTGATGGTAGATCCCTCCCCCGTACAGCAACCAGCGTCCTGGGGAGGGGAGGCAACCGGCCTCCCTCTCCAACAGCAGCCAGAGGTGGGCGACCTCATAGACTTGTCCTGGGGACACAGAGAGATGGCAAGCGGAGATGGGACCGAAGTCTCTCTGCCAGCCCTACAGGGATGCTGGGCAGTCAGCCAAGGTCCCCAGAGGCAGTATAATATACAGGGAGAGGAGACAACTGGTCTCTCTCCCCAGCGGCGGCCTGAGTTCCAGGAGGAGATGATGGTCGATCCCTCCACCTTACAGCAACCAGCGTCCTGGGGTGTGGGGGCAACCAGCCTCCCCCTCCAACAGCAGCCAGAGATACCGGGAGAGGGGGAAGACAAACCTAACCACACTGGCGCAGATGGGACCGCGGTCTCTGTGCCAGTCCTACAGGGAGGCTGGACGGGCGGTCCAGATCCCCAACCAACCCCGCAGGGATGCCAGGAGGAGGAGGTAAGCGAAACTTCCCCTCCCCAGCTACATCCCAACTGGGTCCTGGGGGCAGTGGATGAGCCTGCGATACCCACTGACCCCCTCCCAGCAGAAGAGCTGGCATCTGGGCAGAGCTCTGTTAGCCTCTGCCCCCCCTTTTCCCCTGTATCAGAGCCTGACTTACCACGGGTTACCCCAGTGGAAGAGCTGGCAGCAGGGCAGAGCGCCGCTGGCCTCTGCCCCCCAAGCAACACCAGCAGTTTGCCTAGCTGCACCAGGGAGACCGAGAGTGCTGCGCTGTCCCACTACAAACTTGAACCTACAGGCCAGTACCATTTATTGTGGGGGGGTTACTCTGCGTATTTTTCTTTGTGGGTGGGCTGCCCGACTAATCTAGGTACTGACCGGCAGAAGGTCAGGTACCTGTTTAGTCTTCCCCCCAAAGGGAAGATGTGTGACGAAGTGCCCTTCGCCACTTGTGCCTGGAGAGGACTGCTTGCCCGCCTCTTGCCCTGTGACTATGGCCCCTGGGATGTATTGCCCTTTAAAGACATGATTTGGGCATAATGGATTTGTGTTGTGCTGCTGCTGGCCCTTTAAGAACCATCTGGGGACATACTGTGGAGTTACTGGGTGGCCACCATTTCCTGTATCAGAAGCACATGGTGAGAACAATGGATGGCGGCCATTTTAACTCACAGACACTGTTTGGACTTTTCAACACGGTGCTATCTCGCCAGTATTTGGTGCACAGAGACATCGTGCAGTGGTTTTGGACTATACAGCAGGGGACACATTATACAGTAATTGTTTTTCATTTAGCCTATATATGTTCTGCAGAATCTGCATTAAACTGTATTTTCCAAAGTACTGGACGGATCTGGGTGAATTTTGGATATGTGGTTCACCCAGATCCCCCGGTTCCAAGGATATACTGGGTTAAGGATATGGGGTTATTGCATGTTTTGGGGTCCCTGTGATGTATATTTTAGAAGTTATGAATGCTGTAAAAATTGTAATGTTTCTGGCCAGCAGATAATTGAGCTTTGTGTATTGTAGAAACTCAATTATCTAGCCTGGCCCAGAGGAGGAGTTTTGTGTTGCATAAATTGTGAGTTCTGTGTGCCAGTAAATCAGTCTTGTTCCAGCATTAAGCCTTGGCTCATGTTTGGGGGAAGGGATACCTACACTCTGGGGATTGCTATAATCACTTACTCCCCAGAGGAAGCTCTTGCAATAGCTTGATTTGTTCCTGTTCCTGCTCTCTGGGGAAAGAGAGGTTCACCCACTGGAAGCTGGATCCTGGCCTTGGGTCCAGGGTGGGTGGAAACAGCAGAGACCCCGGCGCAGTTGCATCGCTGGAAGTGGGGTCTGCAGTGCTGATGGTGTCGGTTGGAGTGCTTGGAGTCCTCGGCAAGCGCTAGGAGCATCGATTGGCGGAGGTACTCAGTCGGAGTGCCAGCGTTCCGTCACAGGTGCACTCACAAACGAACATGAAATCAGGCTTCTCACCCTCCCAGGGGTAGTAGTATGGTGAAAAAGATCCTCCGTGGGATATATGCAAAATAAAAGAACCAAATATAGTGAAGTATGTAATAAAATTTTATCAATAGATGCTGCTATATTTATTTTAAGTTCTTTTTGTATTGTTGTTGTGACGAGACCAATCTCGCCACATTGCATTGGAGAAGCCTGGTTGCTTGCCTGCTGCCTTTGGACTATGGCCCCCTTTTAAAAGACTTTATTTTTCCATGCAGAAAAGCCATATTCATGCTTTTCTGCCGGTTGTTCGGTAGTTTCAATCTACCGAACAACCGTACGAATGACTGGACCACCTGGGAGCTGGAGTGTGCCGGCAATTAACCTCCCTGAAGCTGCGGTTAACCGCAGCTTAATTGATGAACGCTGGGTGGCCGCCGTTCGTATCCCGAACACGAGGTCGCGGCCATTTTAAACCATACGAATGAACAGCGGTGTTCGCCTCTATTTTTATGGAACTAAAATCGGACACAGTTTTGCGCGAACACCGCTGAAGCCGCCGACCTCCCTTCTTGTTCGGTGAAAGCACACGAATGACCCGGTGTTCGGTATTTTTGTGTGAATGTCTTATACCCCAGATAGGAATCCCATGGAGCCCATTCGTATGAAACTGACTGTAAAGACTTTGGCTCCATGGCGATTGAACTGTATTCGTGTAGTCTGAGTGCCATTCACCTAATAATGTGCACTCAGACCTGAGCTATCTGGGGATATGTTACATGTCTGTGGTTTATGTAGTAAATGTTACTTTGTGCATTTTAAAGTGTTATGCTGGTTTTGTGTTCCCACGTGTGTAATGGAGTTTTGCCTTTGTCTTGGGAGATAATTGAGTTACTTCCCAATTATCTCCCAGGGCAGAGGGGAGGAAGCCAGGATGCATTGTGGGAATATACTGTGACTGTGTGTCCTTTTGTATACTTGTCTGTCCCTTGTCACAGTCTTCCATCTGGTCCCCTAGGGGAGTGTCCACCAGGTGGGAGACCTGCATAAAAGCTGGGCAGGTAGCCCTCATTAAACAGACCACTGCTTGACCCTCAACACGGAGCCTTGTCTCGTCTTTGGGGGGATTTACTGTATGCTGCTAAGGACTGATTGCCAGGAGTGTAAGCCGCTTGGGAGCTTTTCCTGTTCGTCTGCTAGCAGCTATTCGTATGGTTCCTGTTCGTTTATTTGAAGTGCTACCTTATTCCCTTGTATGCCGTTCGGGAGTTTGGAGCATTCACTTATTGGCGGTTCGTGAGTTTTGGTGATTATACAGTAGCTGTGCCTGACTCTGAAAGGGGGATTATCGTCTAAGCGGTTTTTTCCCCTTTTGTGCAAAACGGTCCGTTACAATTGGTGGCAAGCGGCGGGATCGTTCCCACAGACTACAGGACAGCTACAGGCGACACCATTCCTTGGATTTACAATTTGAGGGCAACGCATGTCTGAGTACAGCGACCCTGACAGCAACAGCATGGAACCAGCAGTGTCATACGAGGAGGAGGACCTGGATGGCCTTGCATTAAGGAAAGGCATCTGGTACCAGGCCCTGGATAATGTACAGTACCAGCGGGGTGAGAGTCTCCCCAGTGAAGAGCAGCGGTTGCAGAAGCAAGTGGCCCTGCGGATGCCCTTCCTGGGAGAGCAGCCCCTAGATGAATGGGTGAAGGAATTGGAGCACCGGGTATGGCAGGAGATTTGGCTGGAAGATGCCTACCAGGCGCTCTGGTGGTATGGGGCACAGTACCTGCCCTGGACAGCCGAGCATTAAGGAAAGGCATCTGGTACCAGGCCCTGGATAATGTACAGTACCAGCGGGGTGAGAGTCTCCCCAGTGAAGAGCAGCGGTTGCAGAAGCAAGTGGCCCTGCGGATGCCCTTCCTGGGAGAGCAGCCCCTAGATGAATGGGTGAAGGAATTGGAGCACCGGGTATGGCAGGAGATTTGGCTGGAAGATGCATACCAGGCGCTCTGGTGGTATGGGGCACAGTACCTGCCCTGGACAGCCGAGCATGACAAGCCAGAGGGAGAGGAGTTTGATGGTCCTGGCTTGTTATGGGAGGCTTTTTCAGAGCCTGAATTTGGGAGCCCTACACAAGCCCAGTTCAGTGATCTCTTGGAGTGGAGGGAGAGCAGGTATGACTGGGACGACACTCACGACATTGAGCAAGACCTGGCTCACCTAGCAACCCTGGAGTGGGAACTGGAGCAGGACTACCGAGATCTCTTCCACTCCATTGAGAAGATTCAGCAGGACAGCAAGGTGACAGACCCATTCAGCTGGGAAGACATTGTGGATATTTTCTGGGAAGAACCCCAGGTGGCCGGTAGAGATGGGACCGAGGTCTCTCCACCGGTCCTGCAGGGAATTGGGAGCCCAGTCTCCATTCCCCAGCGGCCGTGTGATTTATTGGGAATTGGGAGCCCAGTCTCCATTCCCCAGCGGGAGATATTGCAGGGAATTGGGAGCCTGAGCTCCATTCCCCAGCGGCAGGCTGAGTTACAGGGGACAGAGATAGTCGCTCCTGTCCCCCAGCAGCAGAATGAATTGCAGGGAATTGGGAGCCCGAGCTCCATTCCCCAGCGGGAGAAATTGCAGGGAATTGGGAGCCCGAGCTCCATTCCCCAGCGGGAGAAATTGCAGGGAATTGGGAGCCCGAGCTCCATTCCCCAGCGGGAGATATTGCAGGGAATTGGGAGCCTGAGCTCCATTCCCCAGCGGCAGGCTGAGTTACAGGGGGCAGAGGTAGTTGTTCCTGCCCCCCAGCAGCCAAGTGATATGCCGGGAAGGCAGTGGGAAGTCCAGGGAGAGGAGAGCAGTGTCCTCCCTCCCCAGCGGCAGCGTGATTTTTTGGGAATTGGGAGCCCAGTCTCCATTCCCCAGCGGCAGTATGATGCTTTGGGAATTGGGAGCCCAGTCTCCATTCCCCAGCGGCAGCACAGATCATTGGGAATTGGGAGCCCAGTCTCCATTCCCCAGCGGCAGAGTGTCCTACCGGGAATAGAGAGCCCAGTCTCCTTTCCCCAGCAGCAGGACTCTGTATTGGGAGCAGAGACAGTCGGTCTCCCTCCCCCACAGCTGGAAGTATGTATGGGAGAGGAGCTTGTTACCCCCTCTCCCCAGCGGCAGCTTAATGTACAAAGGGGAGACAGTAAGCCCCACAACCGTGCAGATGGGACCGTAGTCTCTACACTGCCAGCACAGGGGGTAGGGACGGTCGGTCCTGCCCCCCAGCGACAGGGCTGTTTAGCCAAAGGGGAGACAGTCGGTCTCCCCCTCCAGCAGCAGAGATGGGTAACCAAAGGGGAGACGGTCGGTCTCCAGCAGCAGGACTGTGCAGCTAAAGGGGAGACAGTCAGTCTCCAGCAGCAGCAGCAGAGCGGTGTATTT